GGTGTGGGAGAGCAGACAGAGGGGTGCCATGGGGGTCTCTCGGTTTCCCTTGAGCCCTGGAGCGGTTCCCTGCGGTTTTGGGGGTTGGTTGCGCAGTGGGGGGTTCCCCAACCCCCCTGTCCGTCCCCGGGAGGCTGATGGGGGGGTTCCCCCCTAGCCAAGAGCCGGTGCTGGGGCGTCCGTGGAGCAGAAAGGGGTGGGAAAGGGGGGTCCGGTGTTGTCCCCTTCAGATCCCACCCTGCTGTGGGAGGCTGGGGGATGATGGGGAGGGGACGGGACACGCCCTGACCCGTGTCCTGCACACACAGGGGTGTTCCAGGAGATGGTAAAGAACGAGTGTCACTTCATCAAAGGCACCGAGCGGGTGAGGTAGGTGCTGAGGTACATCCACAACCCGGAGCAGTTGGTGCACTTCGACAGTGATGTGGGGGTCTATGTGGGGGACACCCCGGATGGGGAGATCCAGGCCAGGTACTGGAACAGTGACCCAGAAAGGCTGGAGTACAAACGAGGTGAGGTGGACAGGCTCTGCCGGCACAACTACGAGGTGTCCACCCCGTTCCTGGTGAACCGCAGAGGTGAGCGTGGGGCAGAGCGGGTCCCCTCAGCCCCTGCCACGGGAATGACCCTGGAACCCCTCAAACCCTCCCTGGGAATCACCCCAGACCCCTCAGCCCTCCCTGTGCCCTTTCCCGTGGTCTTTGGACCCCTTCCAGTTCTTTGGACTCCATCCCAGTCTCTCCCAGTGCCCCCCCGCGTCTCCACCCCACTGGGGCCACTGAGCTCACACCCCTCAGCCAATCCCAGCGCGTCTCTCTGATGACGCTCCAGTTGCCAGGCAGACCCAAAACAAAGACTTCCCTCACCACGACTCAGCCTCCCAGTCCCCATCACTTCCTTCCCAGTCCACACCAGTCATTCTCAGTCTCTCTCATTGCACTCTCAGATCCTCTTAGTTCATTCCCAGTCGTTCTCACTTCACTCCCACATCTCCCAACTCTCTCCCCAGTACCCACCAGCCCATCCCCTTCTACTGCAGTCTATTCCCAGTCCCTCCCACTGCCATCCCAATCCCTCCCAATGTCCTACAAGCCCTCTCCCCTGTCTCTGCCAGTGCCCCCCAGCTGAGCCCAGTGTCTCCCCCGTCCCTCCCAGTGCCCCCCAGCGTGTCCATCTCGCTGGTGCCGTCGAGCTCCCAGCCCGGCCCCG